GGGAGGGCGGGCGAGAGGGCGGGCCAGGGTCCCGGGTGCCGGGCCTCGCCTCGGCTCCTCCCCGGGGGTCGGACCGCGCCGGGCGGGCCCGCTGCGGAAATGGAGCTGTCGGTTTTAAACTGCGGGCGTTTCCCTCCATTTTGGGCGCGCCGCGTTGGTGTTAGATGATGTCGGCGGAGGATTTGCTGGGCTGGCCCCATGCTGGCCCTTTGTCCCGCCCCGCCGCAGCCGCCCCCTGCCCTCCGAGCGCCTTTTTGACAGATAAGCGGGTGGCTCGGCGGGTTCGGAAAGTCGAGGAAGGAGGAAAGGCGCGGCAGCCCGGCGGAACGGGGAAGCGGGGTTGCAAAACTTGACTTTATTCGCGCAGCTTGTCACTGCTTAGAGGGTCTCTGACGTCTCGGCCGGGTTACTCGCCGGTGCGGACTGCAGGGCTGCGCCCTCGGCTGTGTTGAGTTCCCTCCCCGGTGTTTCCGCACCGTCGCAAACGGATATGTAGGCAGGGCTCCTGCTTTAGCTCGGTCCTGCTTTTTCACATTTTAAAATAATTTTTAAATTGTTCATAGTGACAGCCGTGCCTCCCACTCCCTAGGGGCGTATTTCCAACACTCTCGAGGGGCACTTTCTAAGCAGCTGATAGTAGAGGACCTTGTTCCAGGCGCTTCACCAAAATGAGTACACGGCGTGATCAGGAGTCACACTGGATACTCACAGTGTCGGCACATTCGAAACACGGCACAGGTGTGCACGACCGCAGGGCTCAGCCCCGGAGCGAGTGTGCGGTGTTCACCTGCTGTGGGAGGTGCAGCGCCCAAGGGGTAGACCCAGACGCCAGGTCCCAGGCCGCCAGGACGTTGCAGCCTAGTGGGGGACACAGTTATTCAACAAATAAGCATGTGTAGCTCTGTGATTACAAATTGTGATAAGTGCCGTGAAGGAGCGGGTAGGGGCTGTGAGAGAAGGGGGCTCATTTAGACTGGGCGTCTGGGCCGCAAGCCCAGCTTCAGTTTAGTTTCTGCCGAGCTGTTCGGGAGGAGGGAAAGGAGTGAGTAGGACGGGATGATGTGTGGCACCCGGCGATTCTGTCCTTGCAGTCAGGAGGGTGCTGTCCTTGCAGCCAGGGAGGTGACGCTTCTTTTGTCTTGGGGCATAGGGGAGCCCAGGGCAGGGGAGTTCCTGTTTGCCTTCTGCCTAGCAGGACTCCCCTGGGTTCGGGTGTTGAAGGGAGGCAGACAAGCCTTCATTTGCGCTTCTCTTTCTCTGCCACATTTAGACTCATTTGGAAAAGTGGAGGAAGGCAGGCCAGAGACCCATGTAAGGCTGTGATCAGCAGGGAGTAGCAGCCGAGAATTGTCATGTTGATAAATAGTAACATATTGGAGCCGGAATGTGTGAGAGAATGAAATGTGTGCAATCTTGTACCAGTTGACGCTGAAGTTAGCAAGCATGAGGCTTAATAGGAAAAAAAAAAAAAGGAAAGAAAGAAGCTGGAGGGTCTCTGTGTTTCCCTTACTTGCGGGAAATGACTTCGTGTTCAGTAAACAAAATCTTTCTTTACGAACACTTGGCTAGACATCCTTTCTAAGGGAAGCCTATCCATGTGTATCTTGATTCTCTTAGGTGAGTATATAATGACATGGGCTCATGTTGGGACTTTTGTGTCCTATTTTGGCTAATTCACTCTCCAGGGAGATTGTATGAGGATGAGATTGTACTGTATCGTCACGGGTGACTCGCGTATGTGGCTTTCATGCAAAGTGGCGAAGCACAGACTGTTGCTGACTTCATGTTTTAGGACATTTGTGTACAACATAGTGATCTCCTAAGGATGGTGCTTTTTTGTTTATTTTGTTTTTCAACCACCATAGGAAAGACCTCTGTGGAATCCCAGCTCTTAGATGGAGCCTTTTTTTTAGAATTGAGCTTAGAGAGCTAATGCTTGTACCCACCAGATGTCCTAGTTGGCTTAACCCAGAACATTTACTTGGTAACAGAAAAATCTTTTTGGCATTGACCTGTGTTCAGTATTGCACAGATCCTGTGTCTGTGGTCTGTAATAGGCTCAACAGAAATAAATACATTTTAAAAAGGCACAGAATCTGTTGTTTCATAGGCCTTTTTAAAATGCAGTAGCCCCTAGGTGCTGAAGGGACTGTGCTTCAGAAATTTGTCAGGAGTTGTTTGAAACATGAAGGGCATCTTCCTGCAGAAGGATACAATTGGTGGAGGGACAGTTTTCCAGGTTAGCTTTCCTAAACCCTGGTTATCAGTGTAAGAGATCTAGTGCTCGTAACAGTAGTTTGATTTTGGGGGTCCAGGAAGGAGAAGGGGCACAGGAGAAGAGAGAAGGAGGGAACATTTCCTTCCTCTTTCTTAGTATTTGGAGGCTCTGAATTAAATGTTGAAATAGGCAAAGCTTGCTGTTGTCACCTTCCCTTTTTGTGCCCCTCCTCCGCATCCTGAGGTGTCCCCTGTCCCCTTGTCACCCTTGCTTCCCAAGTGCCCCTCAGGTGACTCCTCAGCCAGGCTTCCTCCCCAGAGCTTCTGGGCTCCTCCCCCCGCTCCCACCCCAATCCATTCATTACCCCAGCAACACTATCTCAGGTAGGTGCTGGGAAGAGAGCGTCTGTTATCACTGTGTAAATTGACATCGTCCCATCACCAGATGAGTACTCCTATTTTCTTTTATCTACCAACCTGCCCACCCGTCTGTGTAAACAAATGATGCTCCGTAAGTTTTTTCTCAGGTGATTAAAGCTCAGTGAAGCAATGTGGAGCTTAGGAAAGACCTTGTCCTGAGGGGTGGGTCATGCAACTTTCTCCTTTCTTAACTCAAAAGATCCTCTTAAACGTTGTTGTTATTGTTGTCCAGTCAGCTCTGGACAGCAGCAGAGTAAGGCAGGCAGATGTACATGCTTGGGTGATGTGTCAGTGAGCTGAAGGTGACACGTTTCTGTCATGCTGTCTGTTTCTCGGGCTAGGCCTTTAGTGTTGGAGAAGGTCGGAGGCCCTGGTTTTGTCGTGGGGAAACGTGAATCCGCTGGGCAGTGGAGGAAGAAGCGTTGGCACCTAGATGCTAGAAGTGCCCAGCTGTCATTGAAAAAGGGCGGCCAACAGGCCTCTTGTAAGTGCCAGTCCCTGCAGATTCCTTGTGGCTTCTGGGAACGCAGCTTCGCAGGCACGTTGCGGTTCAGTGGAAAAGACTGTCACGATGGGGCTGACGTCTGCCACGCGCTGGTGGGGGGCGTGAGGTGGGAGGAGGGCAGGTACCTGGTCCAGGTAGGTGGTTGGCAGAGGACGTAGCTGTAGGATTGAAAGCTTTATGAAATAACCCTAAATTTATTGTTGATTGTAGATTTGATATCATTTTTCCTGTTGGTGGGTTATAGTGATGCTAATTTTGTGTTCTTGATTTTCCCAGTCTGTTTCATACAATTTATTGTTCTCAATATAGGTAATTGTTAAAAATATAATTTAATGCATTTTTAAAGCTTTTGTAAGACTGTGAATTTACAAATCACAAACTGTGTTCTGGTTTTTGATTTACAAGGAATATGGTCAGGTGGGTGATTTGGTGCCTGTATGTGTTGTCGTACGTAATGAATCCTCAGTGCCATTTACATGGACCAGAGCGGTTAACTCATCCTCTGTAGAGTGATTCCAGATGAGATGTGGTATAGCAGAAGGAACAACGTCTGTATTGCCCTAACTACCATTTTGTGCCTTCTATTCATACGCCTTGGACAAAACAGTTAGTGTCGTGAAGCTTCGGTTTCTCATCTTTAGAACGAGGGCTGTATGCCCTCTCCTTCCGAGGCCCATCTGACCCTAAAATCTTGACCAATTTAAAATTCTGGAAAGTTGTATGTTAGCAATTGACCTGTGAAAGACAAATGTAGACGTGTATGCACTGACTCCAAATTTTGTTCTTTAAAACCGTTCAGATTAATTTTAGAAAATGCCAAGTAGGAAATTTGCCGATGGTGAAGTGGTGAGGGGCCGGTGGCCCGGGAGCTCACTTTATTATGAAGTAGAAATTCTGAGCCACGACAGCAACTCCCAGCTTTACACCGTGAAATACAAAGATGGAACTGAACTGGAATTGAAAGAGAATGACATCAAGGTGAGAGCTCCTTTGCTTTGCCAGAGGACGTTAAGTGGGAAATAGGGACTGGTGCGGGATTTGAGCTCAGGGTAGTCACACTTCTAGCTCTGTTCAGAGGGACAGAGTCCAGGTCCTGCTTTGTGCCAGCGACGGTTTTTTGGTTTTTGGCTCTGGGAAAGTACGCATGCGGCGTAGTGCCTCATCCCCCAGAAGCTCACAGTCGAATGAGCAGGACAGACACATTGGTCCTTTACCTGGGCGTAGTGCATTCTGTGATTGAAGGCGGCCGTGGGTGCTGGTGGAGGGCCAGAAAGGGCGGTGGGTTTCACGGGAGGCTCTCCGGGCACCTGGACTGAGTGCTGAGGACAAGTCGGAAGGACTCAGGTTGGGGGCTGCTTAAGCAGAGGGCAGTAAGCCAAAGGCTTTGGGGGGCTGGAGGGGCGGCAGGGACACAGGCAGCCAAGTGCAGGAAGGGCGTGATGGGGGACTACCAGCCAGGAGGGTTAAGCTGGAGCCAGAACTGGGGAGGCAGGGGTTTACATTCCATGCCCAGGGGTTTGGGCGTCATCCGAGCACAGAGGGGTTGAATCAGGAGGTGACATTAATTAAAGTCTAGCTCAGGACTTTTCAGCCTATCTGGTGAGGTCCAGGTTTCTAAAATAGCAGATCCATGCTGTGTAAATACTTAGTAAAATGCCATAGAAATGGATTACTAGGGGAAAAAAAAGACATACAAAGTAAAAGCTCCAGATATTAGATTCAACAGACGTTAAATTACTTTGTCAAAATACTATAAAAATTTCTAAACGCCTGTTCTCAATTTCAGTACTTGCTCAGTAACAGATTGGTCCGTGGACTACATGTTGAATGGCCTGGAGCAGGGGCTGGCAAATATTTTGAGTAAAGGGACAGATAGTAAATATTTTAGGCATTGTGGGCCATACAGTCTTCTGTCCACAAAGCCTAAAATATTTTTATATATTTTCTACTTCTGTGCTACTATGTTCTGCCTTGTAGTGGGAAGCAACTGCAGACAATATGTGACTGAATAAGTATGGCTGTGTTCCAATAAAACTTTATTAATGGACACTGAAATTTGAATTTCATATACTTTTCAGATGTCACAACATAGTATTCTTTTGATTTTGTTTGCAGCCATTTAAGAACGTAAAAACCAGTCTTCACTTAAAACAGGCTGTACAAAGACGCATGGGCAGGATTTGGCCTGGGGCATAGCGTGCCCACCCCTGGCCTGGATCATCAGTAGCAGCCGGAGAGGTGGTTTGGAGCAGGCAAGGGCAGGGTACGACATTGCTAAGGAATCCAAATTTTTACTTTTGTTTTCAAAATCTGCTGCTGTGTTTTATTCAGAGTGAAACTGAATAAAAAAAATTTTTTAATTGCTTGCGGGCTCATTTCTCTTGGCCTGTTATTTCTGTTTTTTTCAATGTTAATGGCAACTCTTCTTGTATAAATTCTTGGGAAAATGTACGGCTGGTTGGTTTAGACACATTCATTTCATGGACAAAGGCTGCATTTGTGTTTCGAGAGAAGGAGCCTTACCGCAGCGTCTTTCGTTGGCCTCCTCTGGTCGATTCTCAGGTGCGACGGTTTCCAGGGATGGTTTTAGACTTGGTGGTAGCCATTGTCGCCTCTTCTGTGTGCGTTTATGATCTGTGGTAAAGCTTTTTGTTTCTTTCTCCCCTTTAGCCTTTAACGTCCTTTAAGCAAAGGAAAAGTGGCTCTTCCTCCAGCTCTCCCTCTCGACGCCGGGGGAGTCGGTCCCGGTCACGTTCCCGGTCCCCAGGCCGGCCACCAAAGAGTTCCCGCCGGTCTGCGTCTGCGTCCCACCAGGCCAGCGTTAAGGAGACAAAGAGGGAACTCTTGGAAGTTAAATTGACTCCACTGGTGCTGGTACTTGTGTTTTGGAGTTCTTTATCCTTCCGTAGTGCTTAGTCTGTCCGAAAAACTGAACCGTCACCATCTGGGCCTTTATGTACATATTTACTCACGTTATTTCCCGTCAACCTAAAAAATGTCATCGAAACACCAAATCCAAAGTGATGACTTTGGAAGATTACATTAAAAAAAATTATTTGGAAGAACAGAAAATAGAATTTTTTTAAGTCCCAAGGAGAAAGAATGTTCCTAAGTTACCAGTGGTGCTATTTAATGGTCTTGGAAAAGCAGCGTTTAAATTTGAAATAGACATAGACTATAGGTTGAACTGAATCAATTTTTATATAGTGTGTCAGTGGTCATCTATGAAATATTGAGACATAGCTCTATTGTAAAGGCATATTTTTGCTTTTTTAACACCATTAAAGGAGCCCTGGTGGCGCAGTGGTTAAAGCACTCGACTGCTAACTGAAAGGTTGGCGGTTCGAAACCACCAGCAGCTCTGCAGGAGGAAGATGTGGCATTCTGCTTCTGTAAAGATTTACAGCCTTGGAAACCCTGTGGGGTCGCTATGAGTTGGAATCGACTTGACGGCAGTGGGTTTTTTTTTTTGGTTTTAACACCATTATACCTGATACTTTCTCTATTCAAAGATGAGGGTGTTAATGGAATTACTTTCAAAGTGGAAGGTTGGACATAGCGTGTGTGGGGCCTGTCAGATCTCCCATGCTGAGGGTTTTAGATGGCAGACCAGTCAGAAAACGCATTTAGGGAAAAAGAACAAAAGAAAGTCACCCTTAGTTATCTCTTTTCAGGATAAAATGCACACAGACTTTTAATAACTTAAAAAAAAATTGCATTGTGTACATACTATTTGTAGTTGTCCTTTTTAAGTTTTAAAACGTTGGGAATAACCATCCATGCTATATTTTTCTGCATCATTTTTGTTGTGTGGTGGTGTATGGGTATACCAGAAATTATATAGATATAACATAATTTTTAATGTCAGCTCTCTTATTAATAGGTACTTAGCGTTTTTCTTTCTGAATTTTCATTTTTATAGGCAAATATTCTTATACAACACCTAATTTTTCCTTAGGTTAGAGTCTTACAAGGGGAACTGCCAGGCAAGTGGACAAGGCTGACTGGAGGCTTTGGATACATATTTACCAAATTGCTTCGGGAGAGTTTATGCTGTTGTCGGTAGTATATACGAACACCCGTTTTTTCATTCTGGGTAGTATAATAATAATGTTTTTGCCAATGTGATTGTCACAGATTTCCAGCTCGCTATTTTCATTTGCATTTTGCTACTTACTAGCGAGTTTGAACATTTTGTCTGTTACTGGCTGTCTCAGCCCTCACTGGTCAGATGACTGAGGTTAAGGAACAAGTACTGCGTGCTCCTTTTTGTCACGCTTTCCTCGTTAGCGTTGGTGATGGTTACATTTTTACAGTGTTCCTTATTGTACCCCTGGTGGCACGGGAGCCGCAGGGGGGCTTTGCTCCTCGCCAGCAGAGCCTCGGGCCCAGCGTGCACACATCGTGGGGCTGACGAGGGTGTGTTGCCCGTGAAGGACCAGACCTGGGCTGCGTGTAGCTTTGAATGTTGCTTTGTAGTTGTTTTTTGACTCTCGTTAGTGATGTTTTGCAGTAACTTACCTCGCCGTGTGAGCATCCTGTCACTACGAGTTTGTTCACTTAATACAAGGGAACTGACTTGCCGTCAGCAAGGTTTAGGGCCGGTCGGCTAGCTGTGTTACAGAAAGAAATACGTTTGTGGTTACTATAGGTTGTATGTTAGACATTTGAAAAACTGGGAAGTTCACCGTAGCTTCTCGGGTGGGTCCATTTGTTGCTACGTGGCTCATAGGCACCTTAGTTGACTTAGGTATCTGTTGAGTATTATCACTGCTCAGGTAGGTCCTAATTTGAACTAGAACTTGATCCTATATTAATGCTGTCCTCTGCTAGCTAGCCTCCCATAGGATATAGCTGTGTTCTTAATTTTTCTCCTGTTGATTTATTAGTGCTTTAATTCGTCAGTGACTAACAAAGGAGCAGAGTAACAGATTTCAGCCATGCAGTGCCTGAAGAATCTTTGCAAGCAAAAATACTTCCCCTGTTCAGTCTGATAAGAAATGCTTCTGTTTCTTGAATAGAATATGCATTCAAGGAAAGAGATGGCCTCTAGAGAAGAGGCATAAACTTGTTGCCGCTGAGTCACTTCTGACTTACAGCGACCCTGTAGGGCAGTAAAACTGCCCCATAAGGTTTCCAAGGAGTAGTTGGTGGATTTAAACTGCTGAGCTTTTGATTAACAGCCAGGCTCTTAACCACTGTGCCGCCAGAACTTATTCCATAAGTACCCACTATTTCTTAATTTCCATTACTGGCTAGTTTGGGGCAGTGAGTGTCCTTTCCTCTGTTTTAAACCGAACAATGAACTGATTTACCCATTTTTTCTGTATCTGCTGGTGACACAGTGGTTAAGAGCTCAGCTGCTAAGAGGTCGGCAGTTCAAGTCCCCCAGCCGCTCCTTGGAAACCCTATGGGGCAGTTCTGCTCTGTCCTATAGGGTCACTGTGAGTCGGGATCGATTGAGTGGCAATGGGTTTGGTTTGGTTGCTTATAGCAAGTATTAAAGAGTATCTGTCATTGAACAATGAAATTAAAACAGTCTAGTCATTGTATTTGAAAGATAAAAGATCTTATATAGAAATCTATACTGAACCCAAAACCTGCTGTCGTTGAGTCGATTTCAACTCATGGGGACCCTATAGGACAGAGTAGAACTGCCCCATAGGTTTCCAAGGCTATAATCTTTACAGAAGCAGACTGCCACATCTTTCTCCCACAGAGTGGCTGGTGGATTTGAACCGCTAATGTTTCGATCACCAGCTGAGTGCTTTAACCACTGTGCCACCAGAACTTTTCCTTTTTTTTTTAAACAAAAGTAGGCTGAAATTCTTCAGAATTAAGGCCGTGAAAATCTTTGGTTTGTTTTAATTGTTTGATTTCATGGTAGTCAATTCTGACCACCATGTTCCTTTTTAATAAGTTGTGGTTCTTATGATGAAAATGTTTTCTGTTCTTCAACGTAGAAGCCCTTTGGAAATAGCATTGGCAGATACAATGGGGAGCCTGAGCGTATAGAGAGGAATGACATACCTCCCAGAAGCATTCAGGTACGGAGCGTTCTTTTTTATCACACGTAATTGTTTTCTTGGTTAAAGTGACTTTCCCCAAAGAAGCACATTAAAAATCAGAATTTTTTTTGTCTTTTTAAAAATTTTGTCCTTAAATTGTTCAAGACTGAATGTAATCTGTTTTTAAATTTTATTTATTTTGTTGCTGTTGAGAATATACACAGCAAAACATACACCAATTCAAAAGTTCCTACATGTACCATTTGGTGACATGCCTGATTGTAAGTTAACAAACTTCTTATAGTAAACAGCTATACTGAGATGCCAAATTAATTAGTGTAGGTAGCATTAGTGATAATTGTTAATTACAGACATTTATTATTTTTTAACTAGGAAAAACCACATTTGTCACAAGAAAGTAGTTACGTATCTACACAGTATAGCCTTCGACCAAGAAGAGAAGAGATCAAATTTAAAGAAATGGATTCTAAGGAGGAAGAAGTTGTTACAAAAGGACCTGTGTCGTCGAGAACGTTTGAAGTGACAGCCACACAGACGAAGGATTTAGAGTTTGGAGGAGTACCTGGTAGGCCTCTGAGCCGGGTTGTGGGAGTGCTGTGAGGCGGCCGGCAAGGCCCGTATGAAGAAATTACAGGCAGGCCAGGAGCTGAGCCAGTGGAAATCGGGCACAGCCTCCAGTCAGAAGAACAGCAGATGCCAAGGTGGCAGCATGTTTTGGCGTTGTCCTGTAGTAGGAGGAGGGCCACTGTGGCTCTACTCCACACTTTTGGCAACCTGTTAATAGGTTTTGTGCAGAGAGGTGCAGAGAAGTGATGGGAAAGCCGATCTGACAGCCGTGTAGGAAGGATGGTGATCAGCTAGGGAGGGGGGAAGTCTGCTAATGATCAGACCGAGGTGACAGAGGCCTGGAATCGGCAGTGTTGTGTGCCGTCCAGTTGGTTTCAAATCATAGCGACCCTCTAGGACAGAGTAGAACTGCCCCATAGGTTTTCCAAGGCTGTAGTCTTTACAGGAGCAGATTGCTGGTCTTTTCTCCTGCAGAGCGGCTGGTGGGTTCCAACCGCTGATCTTTTTGATTAGCGGCTGAGCGCTTAACAGTTGCGCCACCAGGGCTCCATGGAATTGGCAGTAGTGGGGGGAGTAGCTGCATACATAAGATGGGGTCTGGTGTCCTGCCTGCCGGCCTGCTTGATTATGGGAGTCAAAGATCTGAAGTGTTCACTCCCAAAGTCCACCTTTCAGCCAAAGATCAGACAGTCCTATAAAACAAACAGTCACACACGTGAGGAATGTGCTTCTTAGTTCAGTCAAGTATACGAGACCAAATGGGCAACACCCGCCCAAAAACAAAGATGGGAAGGCGGGAAGGGACAGGAAAACTGGACGATGGAACCAGGGAACCCAGGGTGGAAAGGGAAAGGAAAGGAGGAGCGTACTGACAAGTTGTGGGGATTGCAACCAATGTCACTAAACAATTTGTGTATTAATTTTTGAACGAGAAACTAATTTGTGCTGTAAACCTTTCACCTAAAGCACAGTTTAAAAAAAAAAAAGATCTGAAATGTTCAAAGATTCGGGGTTATTAAGTGGGTGGAACTGGTGAAATTTTATGAGCTAATAAAAGAAAATACTCCATGGCAGAATGGTTCAAAACCCTCCATGGCTTAATTGCTTTGTATTTTGTAAGTGACAGCCCTGGCAAGCTGGTCTGTTAAAGTCAGTGTTTGTCAGCATCACTTAAAATATGTGCGTGTGTTACATGAACGTGATCTTATTTTAATTGTGAGGAATTTAGGAATATAAAGTTGTTGGTTTTTTTTTTTAAAGATTAGACTGATAATTGTTAGCTGCTCTGATCTTAGTTAGCTGGAGTTTCCTCGGTTTCACTCCTCCAGCCGTTGTGTTTTAAACGTCGTAGGGCTTGGCTTCTCAGGGAGAACTTAGCTGCTCAACGTTGGGTGCCCCCCATCTTCCCACGTGAATTCTTGTGGTTGCTTACCCACTGGAGGTGATAGGTGGAGGTTAGGAGTTGTTGAAGCTACATTAGAAATGGTTCCAGCTGGTTACCCAGACGTGCGTTCTGACCTTAAAAAAACCCAAATGGTTCTTAAAAAAAGACATTGAACCGGGCTGCAATGTGATCGTTTGCAGGTGTGTGCCTCCTCATGCTGGGTCTGCCTGTCTTCCTCTTCCTGTTGCTGTTGATGTGTAAGCAGCAGGACCCCAGCCTTCTCAGCTTCCCTCCTTCTCTGCCGTCTTTGTATGACTTATGGGAAACCAGAGTATTTGGAGCCTACCTTCTCTGGTTTTTTCTTCAAGCTCTGTTCTACCTACTGCCAGTTGGAAAGGTAAGTTTTTGTTAGGCGAGCATAGTATTGTGAGGGTTTCCTGCCCTCCCTCCATGGTTATATAACTAAGTTTGCAGTAGTTTTAAGGGTAGAAGCTGTCCTTGGTCATAACTACCACACTCACTGGGTTTCGATGAGCCACTAATGCTTGTGTCCTGTGACGGTTGCTTGTTAAGCAGAACTGTAAAAATGACTTTCCAAACTATACAGAAAAAAATAAGTCGTTTTACAGAATAGCCTGACTAATGGGAGAGGTTGCTGCAAAAAAAAAAAAAAAAAAAATCCCCCCTCAGTATCTGTCGTTCCAGACGCAGAATTGTAAATGATCAGTAGGTAGCCACTGAGGTCGTATGGACTTAAGGCTGTATCTGTTACTATTTTTTAAAAAAATAGTTTAGAGCTCCTGATCTTCGTCTCTTTCAGGACCGTGTTGTCAGAGCTCTTTGTGTTCTTTTCAGCCTCACGCAGTATCCTTAGCGTTTGCCTCCATTGCTCAGTGTAGTGTTTGCTTCCTTCAGGAGCACCATTTCCGTGGATGTGTTGAAAGGAGCACGAGCTTCCCTAATCAGTCAGTAATTTATTTAAAGATCTTACTCTCAGGGCTTTGCAAGTTTGCCAAGTGTCCATAAACCAGGGGATCAGCTTCACTAGGCTGGTGCACGCGCTGTGGGGAGGACAGACTGCTTGTTCTAATATGTTGGAACCTCACCCTAGTGTTGCTGGCTTCAGCAAGGATTTTTGTGATCCGGACTGTCAGGCATTTTTACGGTGAGACTCTACAGTAAAATTACAGATTCAGATTAATTTAGGGTAAGCCATTCAAACTAGATAATACTTATTAAGAAAAGCAGTTTTGATAGTTAAAAATGCATAGTCACAGACTAAAGCTCAACACAGTATTCGCTGGACACCTTTAATAGATAGGGGTCTTTTGAAATTAGCATGTGGGGTTTTGCTAATCCAGGATCTCAAACGGTTTTTACATTTCCCCACTTGAGTTCCCTTTTATAGCTGGTGAAAGGATACAGTAGTTTAGTCCAAGACAAATGATGCCATATTAGTGTTCTACAGTTTAAAATAGATCACTGCATTTCTGAATAGTTACTTTGGGGAGCAAGATGTGGCTGCCATTGGGCAAGTGGGCATTTAATTTTAACTCATCCAGTGTAAGTAGTATTTCTTGAGTACCTTTTGAGTGTGTGTCACGTGCTAAGTGCCATGTGTGACCCCAGAAGAAGAGATGGAATGGCCCCGATCCGTGAGGGGTCCCCAGGCTCTTAGTGGAGACACAAGAATCAGGTGAAAAGATTGCATCACTGGCTGAGTGTAGTTGTGTAAAACCAGAGCAGGTAAGTACGTGAGTACGTGTCATCAAGCAGCACGTGGCCACAGCCACCTGGGAAGACCCAGGACATAAAAATGGAACTTGGGGAATGTAGGGTAGAGCCTGGCTGATGCAAGGCAGAGGAGTGTATTCTATTGTGTAGGCAGTAGGAAGCCCCTGAAGATTCCTGAGCTCGGGAGTAACTGATATAGGCACCTTTAGTCCTGTGGTGGCACATGGCTGGTTAGTTGGGGTGGTGGGGTGATGGTACTGCAATAGTCTCAGCATGCTGAGAAGGGATAACTAGATTTATATTTAAGATACGTTTCTGAAGGGGGGATTGCTTTGTCAAAGGGTTTAAAACATGGCACTAAATTACCCTCCAAAATATGATCCTCCTTTGGGTATATTGAATTTTAAGTGATGTTAGAAGAAGTTATCCATATACATATATCTTATATATACATATGTTAGTGTTGTTAGATGCCAGTGATGTTAAAAGATACACACACACACACACACACACAAGTAGATAGATAGGATGATAAAGCGTACTTTTAAAATTTTCGTTTTTTTTTTTTAAGGTTGTAGAAGGAACACCTCTTACTGATGGACGAAGACTCAAGTATAGAATAAATGGTGATTTTTTTTTTTTTTTTTTAAGAATTTGAATTGATGACTTGAAAGCTTAAACTTTCCAGTGTTGTACTGTTTTAAACTGTCAGTGCTGATTACAGCAGAGTAGGAAATAGCAAATGACCTCTCAGAAGTCCAAAGGGCAGGCACATAAACTGCTTCCACCTGCAGCCACCACGTAACAGTGATGCTGTGTGAAGGAGCACGGCCTCTCGCTCACTCTTTGCCATCGTCCTGTTTTATTTTCTGAGTAGCATTTATCACTCTCTGAAAATAATGTTGGCTGCATATTTCATCCTCCTGAGTCATCGTCACGGCCTGAGCAGTCCTGCCCTGAGGTGGGCTTCCCGGACCTCCTGCCCTCATACACACTCCCACCCTCGCTCACTTTGCTCCAGCCAGCTGGCTTCCGGCTGTCTCTTGAACGTGTTACTCTCTCTTCTCAGGGCCTTTGCCTGGAAAACTTTCCCCTGAATGGCTGATGGCCGACTTCTTCACCTCTGTCCTGTCTCTGCTCAGACGCTCTCTCTTCAGGGAAGCCTTCAGGTCTCTGTTTTATGTTCTCTAAGGTAGTCATGCTTCCTGATGTCAGGGTATTTGTGCATTGTGTGTCTCCCACGCTAGAATGTCCCTCTGTAGGCTGGGGCTTGGTTGTGTTCCTTGTGGAGCCCTTGTGCCAGGACAACTACAAGGTGCATAGGTGGCACTCATTAATATGTGCGCGTTGAACGTGAAGTAGTGGTCTCCCTGGGAATCTCAAGAAATAGTCAGGCATTGTCCCTTTTTTCTTGATCTGGGCACCTCCCATAGAAGGGGTATGTGCTAAGGGAGTCCCTCCCAATTTGCCTTTTGAAGACTTTGAGAAAGTATAACGAGCCTACTTTTAAGAAATGTATCTAACTTGTTATCTTGAAACAATTTTCCATTATGCTAGATGGAGTAGAGTTTTGTCCTTTTCTTGGGGATTTACATTATACTTTTTAATTCTTGGTCTTTCTTACCCTGTCGATTCTTACTTTTCTTTCTAACTTTGGAATACTTTTTGTTCAATAACTTATCTAGCATCCACTGTATCTGAAATACTCTACTTAAAGCCAGAAAATACTTTAGGTATCCTCTGCCTTTCGGTGCTAAGTGAGTAAAGCGTCTAGTCCAGCCCAGTGCCTGACCCTTGGTGGATGCTTTATCCTTATTTGTGGCTACCGTCAGCTGTTTCTTTCCTTTTGCCAGCTTCCTTAGCTGATGGAACGAGCTGTAGAGTCTTTGACGCACCTCCTGTCCTCGTGTGTGCAGCTCCAGTGAGACTGACGGTCTGGGGACAGGTGGCTGGTCCACTTTTGTCCTCAGACCTCTTGATAATAGTATTTTGT